CTTAGTATTCACAATAAATATTTAAATAACCCTGGACAATTAACAGAACGCCAACTAGTCCCACGGTGAGCAGAGCTTTTTTTATGGGTAGATACTAGACAACTGATATAAATATTTAGACTTTTTTTTGTAAATACATACATACATCAGTAATTCAGTATAAAACATCCAGTATAAAATACACTCATGAATACAAATGTTTGCACCATGCGAGGAATCGATCCCGCGACCATCGGAAGTAAAGCGGTGTGCTAAGTCGCTAGACCATTCAGGCCGTCATAGAATTTCATTGGTTTTAGATGCCATAAATAAAAAATCATGGAGACCCTAGTTGCGTGGCCGAATACGAACGTTTATTCGAGACGCGTGCGTGACGCGGGCGGGAAATATGGAAAAAAAACAGTAGCTGATTAAACTTCTACTTTCACGAAATAACACACATAGAAGGGACGAATAATGTAGGTAACGAAGAATAAAAAAAACTAATACAATTATGTGATTGCATTCAGTTTCATATGATAACAAAGTACCTAGGTAGATTTTGTAAGAAGTATAGGTCAGTCTCACAATTATTTGAGTCACGAAGTAGTTTAGTTTATAAGCGGTATTACAGTACAAGGGTTGTCTTTTCGCTGAAGGGAAGATAAGACAGTAAAATTACAAGATAAGAGACATGGCAACGCGTGAGTGGTACGGGCGTCAGATGATAAGCTGATGGCTGTAGTTGCTATTCATGTAGGCGACGATTACCACTTACAATGAGGTTTATTTATCTTTCCAATTATATGAAATAAGGTAAACATAAGCACAACATGTTACCACTCTTACATTTTCAAGATATCGTAAGCGCCTATAGAAATGAAATAACGCAGAAGAATAATCCGAAATAGAAATGATGTGATACCATCAATTGGCACTTGATGGATTAACTGACTTCTTGCTCTTCCTCCACTAGTGCCCCGCCAGCATACACCGTTAGCGAATGCACCATACAAAAACTCTTCAAATGCAGGAAATCTAACGTAATATAAAAAATATAGATATATGAATTACTATATGACCCGACGAGTTACGTATTACATACCCTTTTGTTATCTATTTCATAAAGCCATATAGTTACAATTCCTATTGAAATATTAATTTTAAATCCTCCCTACATGAGGTTACTCACCCCATTTCCCGGGGGTTGTTACCCCTAGTGTTGCTGCTGAGGCAAAGGTGTTCGAGGCCCCAGCCTATACCCTCCTATGAGGGTGCGGAAGACCCTGTGTCTGTGTTCCCATACAAAATTTTTCGCTTTTATTTTTCGTTTTTTTTTTATCAGGAAAATTGTCAGGTACAATAATAATAATAAAGATTCCGATACGCCTACACATGAGGCTATCCAAGAACATATCATCACAGTATCACTATTTTCGGGGTGTAGACCGTTTTAATTTTCAAATTATTCTTCTATGGAGAACAATAAAAATAAAACTGATCGCTGTCATAAGAAAGATATACGAGAAAAACTATAATTTGGGAACTCCATCAACGTTATACAACCTAAAACGATCGATAAAATATTTTATTTTGTTTGTGTAGACTACAAATACAAATAGATATGTTTATTTTGCCTGGAAAGTGGTTTGGTTTACAGGATGAAATAATTTATGATTTATGAATCACACACACCAGAATCTGGTATGCAAAATTAATAGTGACCAGTCGTACCTAATAACAAATAGTTTGTTAATCTTATAGTTGCTATATACATACACTATGTACCGTATACATATGTGTGTTTATTCCGTACTTCATTTGCATTTGCTTTATTATCAAATTCCTTGACATATACTACGATACGAAGATAGCTAAGCACTTCGCGATTAGCTATCTTTTTAACTGTTATTTTGAACACATTTACGGTAGTGTTTTCATTTCATCTTAGAATTTGTAAATTTTGATTGCCACTCAATAGACTCAATCAAATCAAAATATCTCTATTCATGTAGGTCAGGTCAAGTAACTATTATGATATGTAAAAATTTACCGTCATTTCGGAGTGCATTTGAGCTAAAAAGAATTGACTTATTAGCAATTCAAGACTAGTGTAAAACAAAACTACAAAAGACACATGTGTTTGTGCACGTTAGTCTCAAAATCGACTTAACCGATTTGTATGTGGTTTTCGCAAAAATAAGGTAGTAAATGTATGTTATGTTCCAATCAGATTTAAAAAATATATATATATTAGGTAAATCAGAGGCTCAGCCAGCTTATAACGTTAGTGTAAGTACCTATATTATATAGGACAGCAATGTATAGTGGGTATATTATTATTATAATAGCATTTCAATTTCCTCAAACACACGACTAAAATATCGTTATTGTAATAATTTATTTTAATCATAAATACGTATATATGCGAGACTAATTAACATTCTTTATGAACATTATATGAAACAGAAGTCTATTTATGATTACTACAATAATTGTATAAAAACATAACATAATAATGCGCTATATTTGACGGTTTCGATGGTCTAGCGGTATAGGACTCCTCGCACGGTACAAACATTTGTATTCATAAATATATCTTTCTGTGTCGGTCTGGGTGTTTTCTATGTACACATTATGTAGGTACTTACAAAATAAAATTGTATTTATATCAGTTGTCTAGTACCAATGACAACCTCTGTTTACCATGGGACTAGATGACGCTATGTTAATTGTCCAGAGATATTATTACTTCTCTATAATTTATAACGTTTTATTGAACTTAATATAGAACAAACTGAAACTTTTGTATTTATTTAAAATTAAACATTACATTATTTTTAATTAAAAACAAAGATGTAGTTACTATGAACTGATAATCTGAGAAAGGCTTTATCTGTAACACAATTATCAGTTATATATGTACATACATACACATATATATATAGGGGAATTTACGTAGTTTATTAGTACTTAATTACTTTAAGTAGGTACTAATAAAATAATAAACCCATTCATGTGTACTTTCGCTGTTTTATTTAAATAAATGTATAAATTCTATTTATTTTGTTAGTATAAGTGTCAATAAAATAAATAAATTAAATAGGTACACTTTATTGTTTGTTATTAGTGAAGACAGATTTACGCTATCTTCTATGTAAAAAAAGCAGACGGAGTCGCGGGTAACATATAGACTATTTTTCATCATGAAATTTAAATAATATAATAAAGTAGGTAGGTATGTCTGCATTGAACGATAAAATTCTGATAAAAATATGTCGCCGAATGAACTACTGTTAGGTAGCGATAACTGATAGCTCGTTATACATAAGCTTGTATATTTTATAGTTATTTATATATCTTTATTTCATTCAAGATTCAGTATATCACATTTGAAAATATTCGTAATTTAAAAACTATATAAATATATTATTATACATTACTGCAATGACTTTATTAATACAGGTGTTAATAGATAAATACGTACATATCTATACAACAATTTTCTATGAAGTTTCATGACAAATTTAAAAAAAAACTTAATTTACTTAATAGAAAAGTTGATTGAAGTTGAAACAATAAAACACGATAGAATTGATGAAGTCAACTGTAACAGATTAAAAAAAATACTAGCATGATCTAAAATATTAAAAGAGGTTGATATTTATGTTGTTATGCAAACAAAGCAGCATGACGATGTTGAAAAAAAAATCATACGTTAACCGCGTCTGTATAGTAAATAATGAAAAAAAAATTAAAACCTAAATCTATTCTCACCGAACTACAGAGTCGCGTCTTCAAAATATCACCACAAAACACTGAATTCCTACAATACTAGTACGAAAGAAAACACAATAAAATATATTAATAGAATTTACAAAACTCACTTTCAACACGTGTTTCCCTGACGCGAAACTGACAGCGTTCGGAATTTAGTACGAACACCAAGCGCGACCACCGCTAAATACTGAATACTATTTACAAGAACGCGATTCAAGTGCTGCGCTAGAAGCTCTTTACGAGACGATGAAAAAATAATAAACAACCCCAATCTAAAACATTCCTTCTCCATAAACGATAGAGTTGACATTTGGATAGCGCTAATCTCGGTGGTAATAATCATGTCGTACCGGATAACGTAATGTTGTCGCGTTCTTTCAATATTCACAGCACGCGTGCGATAAAGACGAAGAATAAAGGTGCGCATGTGCGTTTTACCCCCTGAAATCATCAAAAGAAGTTTGGTGGTGAGCCATAGTGTTTTGTTGTTGTGGACAAGTCTACCCCATGAAATAGTGAATGCTGTTTTTATGGACGCGTTTATAGCCGGTTTTACTTCGTGATTTATTATGTTCAATAAACCCCTTATTTGAATTTCAATGTTATAAAAGGTTTAAATGCGTGACAGCGACTATGGTTGCTATATTAAAGAAGTTAGGACTAAACTCATTTAATATACTACCATTAACTTATAAAAGTAGTCACAAAAAGGCCAATATTAATAAGTATAAAAAACTAATATTAATAACATATTTTTTGTAATAAAATAAAAATAAAAAGTTGATAGGTAAAGTTGTGTAGGTTCTTAAATGTAGATTTTTCTGTGTGTAAATATGCCTAAGAAAGTTATCTAACTTCATTTATTTAGTTCTTTTTGTTATAGAACTTTTACTTTTACTATTTTTTTTTAAACAGAACTGATCGTACAATTTAATTAATCCCTTTTAACTTAGATATTAAAAGCATATTAAATTATTATTAATAATACAAATTATTCATATTCGTATACTGTGGATGCTTATCCACAGTATACGAATATGAATAATTTGTAACCGTAATAAAAACTAAAAGTCTTGCTATGAAAAACTTCAGTTATTAAATGTTCAAAAAGTATATTTCATTTTTGTTCGTTTATATCAGCTAATGTTAGAACTTATTAATAATATTAAAAACGTTACTATTTTTTATTTGTCGCTAATAAATGCTTTAATTAAATACATATATTTTAATGTATAACTCACCAACACACAAAGGCACTGTGTCATTCCATCTGTTATCATCGTAGCACCATAGTAATCGCGCCCTCTCTCGGGTGTCGGCGAAAACATAGTTCACATTGCACATGTAGTGAGCTACATCATCGTTGCGGTACACTAAATATCCTTCAGAGGGCTCTGGCAGCGTGACACAACCTACACCTGCAAATAATAGATGGCGCTGTAAAATGTACTAGTTAATATTTTAACTTACATATAGATGGCAGCAGTATACACTTCTGCATAATAAGGACTACCTAAACCTAAGCCCGTCATTTCCGATTAAATTAGGAATAACAATTAACTATATAACTTTTTAGTTCTGGACTAATTGAAATAATATATTTTAAGTAATAAGTACCACAGTATATTAATGAAAGTCCCAATTGTCATAATCATAGTTTTTGGGTTCTATTAAGTCGATAAATTTCTTCAAGTTTTTCTCATATATCTTCCATATACATAACACGATCAGTTACCTACATTTTTATATAACGAGCTGTTACCCGCGATTTCGTCCGCGTGGAATTAAACATTTTTTTAATTAAAATGTAATATTATGTTATCTGTTAGTAAAATAAATGTAAATTTTTTCGATAAATTTCTTCAAGTTTTTCTCATATATCTTCCATATACATAACACGATCAGTTACCTACATTTTTATATGACGAGCTGTTACCCGCGATTTCGTCCGCGTGGAATTAAACATTTTTTTAATTAAAATGTAATATTATGTTATCTGTTATTAAAATAAATGTAAATTTTAAGAAGAACTTAAGCTACTTTTAGTAGCTTAAGTTCTTCTTATTACATTAGCTATTTGTGAGTGTAAGTCCCATCAAAATCGGTCCAGTTGTTTCAAAGATTAGCAAGAACAAACTGTGAGACAGACATTTTTTTTTTTATAATTGTTTTTATAAGTACCTTATATACGGTACTTACATAAAAAATATATATCTACTAGATACTTTCATATAAATTTAGTAAAAATCACGTGCACATTGTTGAGCTCAAACAATGTTTTCTCTCTTTTAGAATTTAAACAAAAATATCCACTTACTCTTATAATGCAGAAGAACGCCTCTCTTGGGGTAAGCGCCCTCAGACTTGACCTGAACTGTCACATCCACAGTATCTGTGGTTGAGTACAACTTGAGTGGTAATTCTACCTGCTCACAAGACGACAGCATGGATTTACCATTCGAGTCTTCGACTGAGATATAATCCGTACAACTTTCGTCAAATGGTCCGATTGCTGTAAATAGAAAAAAATAATATTTATTTTATAATCACTTTTTTCCGGAAGGGGTAGGCAGAACTATTGCTAACATACATAGTATATATCGTGGTGAAGGAAATACATGGCACGCGGACATTTTGCCGCATATATTTGTATCCAACCAGCAAACCTACCGCCGCGCGTCTATCGGATTATATTTTGCTTGTTTTCTCACTGTTACCTTAACCGCAGAACAAGTAGAAATATAAATAGGGACAAAACATTTTTTCTTGTCGGCAAAATTTAAATTTTTGGGTGAAAGTAGAGAATTTTTAGATCACGGCGCCCATCATTATTTATTGCATTTTTATAAACCATAGACAATATACCTACTTAAAGAACAATATCGGTAAAATGTATATTGCATATTTATGGCACTTCTTATGGCATCATATTTATCGAGTTAGACTTTGTAAGAAGTCGTTTTGCAGGTCCCTCTGTCTACCAATTTCAGCCTCCAAACAGCTTTCTTATGAGCTGTATTTCAGTTGGAAGCTGTATAAGAGGCAAAATAAGTGGATAAGAGGCATGATAGCTTAATCCTCTGGAATTGCTGGAACGCATCACATGATAACGCCATATCGGCAGTGCTGTTCATGTATATAGGCGACGGTTACCACTTTACCACTTACCATCTCTTACAATATTCTAGGGATGAAACTATTGCCATTTACCAAGTTAAGCGATGTCTGTCTTCCCTAAAAAAAAAAACTTTAATATTGTAAGCAATATTCAAGTTTTTTTTCGGTCTACTATAATGCTGTTGGCATCAGCTTCACCGGACGTTAGGGGGCCAGTGCAGAAGGCAATCCAAACCCGCGAAGGAACTATGGAGCGGCTGAAGGCCAACTCCTGCCTGACGGATACGACTTTAGTCTGAGGGCACCACTAGAGGTTCGAACCTCGGCTCAGGCCATCGTAATTTCGATCTCCGTTTGAATTAGATGGGGGATCGATTGGAGGAGACCAAAATGTATGTGGCGTGTATGAAGTAACGAAGTATAACGATAAAGGGGGATGATGAGTGATGACGTATAGTTCGTACGCCATACGTCTACATCGTACTAATTAGAAAGTGCTTAATAGGTTTATATATTTTTTTATACTACTGGTACGTGATGATGAAGCTCGAATGCTCAGATGGTAGATGATATTGCGGCTCTAATGATAGATGGTAGGTTTGATGGCTTCAGCAGATTACAGGGTTGTAGAAAATGATAGAATTTGCTTACTATTTTAAATTTAATGGTAAATATACTATTAATTACAAATTTGGTGGAGTGAACAAAATGTACGTTAGATCGATCGGTTGATATTTTAAGTCTGTTACATTACGTTGCATATTTAAATTGATTTATATATTTTGCTTTGTACGCGACAACTACTGTTGACTATTTGATGACTAAACTACGAATTCGAACAGCCAACACTAAGCTTCCAAATTATGCGAATACCTTAATTATTGTACGATGAAATATCGTTTAGAGGCGAAACACGTATCGCAATATGGCTATAGATGCAATAACGGTAAGAATTTGATCACTACTAGGGAAAGTCATAACGTTTCCAGTAGCGGTGGTCAAACCTAACTGAATATTTGTGGTCTCACACTTGCTAATGGTGGCGGAATTAAACAAAATAATATAAATCCATTAAGTAATGAAATGGACATCCGCAAAATATAACCTAATTCGATAATTAATAAATTGTAAGTGAATTTAAATGAAGTCTTCTAAACCGAAACGTCAAAAGTATTCTACACTAGCTGTGCCGGCGGTTTCACCTCCGTTAAATTTCAATAAAAAAGCTATATTACTGTAAAATTTCATCAAAATCCGTTCAGTAGTTTTTGCGTGAAAGAGTAACAAACATCCACACACATAAACTTTCGTTATAATACTTGTAACTTTGATTTAATACTTACTTCGTAAACTGACATCCAGTAACGTGACTCGGATACGCTGCTCGGGGTGAACCCGTATCCGCCAGTGGCACTCATCCCCCACATAGAAGTGCGGATACCCAGGAGTGCGCATGTAACCTTCACTGTTCCCCCCCGAAACTGCTACTTGCACTTCTCTATTGCAGTAATGTATTGACAGTGTGTCTGGAAATAGAGATAAAACCGAGTCATAAATTTAATATATATTTGTCATTGGAATATTAGTAATAATAAACTGTGGACAACTCACATAGTACTATTTAGTCCCAAGCTAAGCAGAGCTTGTGTTATGGATAATAGATAACTGCTATAAATACTTAATACATGTTTTCAAACACATATATAATATATATATATATAGATAATACGCCAACTGATATAAACAATATCGTCTGCATCGTACGAAAAATAGAACCCGCGAACATCGAAAGTAAGGCGATGGTGTGATAAACCACTTTACCAACGAGGACCATTCAATTATCATACAAAAAATAAAAAAATTGAGATTTAATTAGTATGATTAATACTACTTTCGAAATCAATTTAGCAGTAATCTTTTAAAAATGTATATACATGTACCTTACTGTAATTCGACCCTAAAGTAATAAAATCTATGACATACAATCTTATTTAGAAAAATATATATATAAAGAGTCGTATTATGTTTTGAATATTTTATACTCTTTCTCTTCACGTTCCACTCATTTCTACCATTCCATATATGTAGTATAACTTAAGTATGTATAAGTACATGTTAAACAAACATGGCGCCTCATAAAATGCATCTGAACACATGTAACTTGCCTCGTAAGCATAACACAAATTTTTATTTTGTATATTTATAACCTCTTTCTGAACATACACTAGGTATTTTTAATGCAAATCAACATCAAAGGGAATTGTTATTTTAAGAAATTTTATGGCATCTAAATGGTGGACGACAGAATAGTGGCTTTATTACTAGATGATTCTATTCTAAAGTAACCAATAAATATTGTGAAGATAAGGGCAGTTTTACACGAATCACTTGCAGACACGTCTAACTCCAATGGCCTACATTACGACATTAGTTTGCATAATAAATTATGCGACTAATGTTTTTGATAGAACCGACCGAGGTAGACTTAGGAAAAAAATTGCGTAGGTACCACAATCTTACCAATTTCAGCCGCCAAGCAGCTTGCAAACGGTGTTTCGATTAAAAGATATTGTAGATAAGGCAATGATAATTATATATGAGGTTAAAAGACGTATTATCTTGGTTCTCCGGTATGGCAACGCAAACGGCAACCACATGATAACGTGGTTACCATCAGGAGGACCAGCTTGTTTGCCATTCCAAATACATAAAATAACAACAACATTGCAGACAGAGCCAAGAAGAATGGGCGAGACAGTCGATTATTAAGATTATGTAGTCGGTTGGTAGGGATTTTGTTGTGAGACATTTCTAGTTAAAGCTCAAATAGTACTGAATGTACACAATCGGACACATTACAGACTTAATCTATTTAGTAACTGAGTTACTTAATCAGGAATGAGTTAGCGATTACTGTATTTAGACATTATAGGATACAAATGTTACAGCTACACCACGCAATTTAAATATAAGTGAATAGAATTACTTAAACTGCGACCACTCCATCATAAAAATGCATTATAAATAACAACAATAATATAATAGAAGATGAATATGATGATGACGAATGTGTAATAATAAGAATAATTGACGATTCACACAGCGCCATCTAGACTCATGCTCAGCAGAACTTGTGTTATGGGTACCAGAAAACTCATAGAATACTTAAATACATTTTTGTAGATATACATAGAAAACACACAGACCGATAAAAATATCGATACTCATGAATAGAAATGTTCGCATCGTACGAGTAATCGAAGGCGGTGAGCTAAATCACAAGACCACCGAGAATTCACGTTAGAGATATCATGCTTTTTAATATGGTGCCACCATTCCATCGTAGGCACCATATTAAAAAGCATGATATCTCGAATACAACTGGTCATCAACTTTTATGGCCACCCTTTTACGATACATCCAAGAATGTTATAGAAGACAATTAATTTGTTTGTTGACGCTACCTAACATTTAAGCGGTATGTTTTAATAGATTGAAATGAAGGTAGTTAAATTTTATTGTTTTTGGAATAAAGTGAAAATGCCGTGCAGTGTAATTACCTTTTTAAATAACATTGTATTAAATTAATCAGTGGAATAAATGTTACTGTTTTAATAGTACAATGTGTTTATTTTTAGTGCTACTTATAATCCGTACGCTGTGGAATGGTGCAGGTGACAGACGACATTCAACATTGAATGTATCAGATTATTCCTAAATATTCGGCACAAGATATTGTTAGAATGCAAATTTAATGTGTTAATAGTCACTACTTCCTACAAATAATATGTTGTATATAAAAATCTTCGTAAATAACTTCTATCACAGATAACATAATATTACATATTATATATTAGTAACTTGCATTTCTGTCACACGCACCATGCCAGAATAAATTGAGTATAAGAAAAAAAAAACTATACATTAAACATAAAATTAATGGAGGCTGAAATTAAAAACCATCTTTTATGTAATTACAAGTAGTTTACTCAATTTGTTTCTTAAGAAAAAGAAATATGGGCAATTTAATCCCAAATCTTGTAAAAACATATGTATGTATAGCATAAGAAAGAATTATATTTAGTAAAAAAAACAACAAAATACTTGTTTTATAAATTATTGTAATACAATACTCGATTATATTTTCGGTTTTTTTTATGTACATACATACAGCATATTTTTTGGTTAATTCGTTTACTTTCTCGTCCAAGCTACTTCTTTATAAATTTAAGATCTAAGTTAATTAAATACTAAAAGTAAAATATTTGTTTAAATAATTTTCCTGTTGACCTTGTATGAGGTACACGATCGCTATACGAAGTGTTCAATCAAAATGTTACACAGTACAACACTAGGAAAGACGCAGCTACCCACGCAATAGGGGTGTTTACTTCTACTAATCAATTGTGAATATATTACATCTTTAACAATGGTCTGACATTCAGATACTTCGTAGATATTTTAAATACTAGTAGTTAATTGAATTCTAAAAGTAAAATATTTGTTTCAATAAGTACAAAAATATTTTTCCTGTTACAGTGACCTTGTATGGGGTACACGATCGCTATATGAAGTGTTCAATCAAAATGTTACACAGTACAGTACTGAGAAAGACGCAGTCTACCCACGCGACAAGGGTGTTTACTTCTACCAATCAATTGTGGATATATTATATCTTTAACAATGGTCAGACTTTCAGCTACTTTGTATTAAGGGCCATAAAGTATTTAGTCTTCACAAATAATCGATTATTATAAAATTTGGATATATACATAAGGAATATTAATTAGATTAAATTAAGATGAACATAAGAAACATTATATTCTTATTATTCAAATAAACTTAATTCTATCACTCAGACTCATCACAAGAAGAACGAGCCAGAAACTTGCGTATTGCTATTTTAAATAAATATCGTTTAGAATTATATTTTTAAAATTTTGAAAAACCATCTATTGAAAAACCAATCAGATACTTGTTACCAGACGGCATAATATATATGCGTTTTTCACTTTGATATAGCTAGTTTAAATGTTATAGTAAAAAAATTATATCATAGTAATTAGTTAACGAAATGAGTGAAAAATAAGATGCAAAAACGCTACGCCACCAAAACTGTAAGCACTGATAAGATAATATTACATACTGCAAATAAGGTCAACAAAAAAAATGGTGTTACGTCCAATTTTTCCGAAATATTTGGTAACCATAACGCCGCCCTTGCAGCGACCGCCCGCCTAGCGACCGCCCGCCCGACCGACCTTGAACTTGGCGCGTCTGCTCCCAAGAAAGTCCACAGTTCTGTATTTATATAACAACTTTTTTACAGCACATAATAAACCTTTTTCATACATTACAGCTTTTTAATAACCTTCAAGAAGAAATAGGTGAAGATAAATTTGAAATTAAATATCTTATATATAACATTCTCGTGTCACAATGTTAGTTACCATACTCCTCTGAAACGGCTTGACCGATTTTTATGAAATTTTATATGCATATTAGTAGGTCTGAGAATCGGCTACTAATAATTTTTCATACCCCATTTATTGATAAGCTGAGTTGTCCTACCGAAATCATTCCGACTTGATACCTTATTTTTTTATTATTTTGATGGGCAAAATTTGTGGCGATAAATAATTGTGATTATATCATACAACCGAACGGCTAAATTTTCACCCTTCTAGCATCAACCCCTATTTTTTAATAGCGATTTTAATGTATATAGCAAAACAAAGTTTGCCAAGACAGCTAGTTAAGATGTATTATTGTAAACATGTACAACATTTATTTGAAAAGAATACGAGCTGAGTTTCATTATCATTAAAAAACCTATATTTGCATCCAACGAATCTCTCTGATTAATTTGGTTTATTATCAGTATTTCATACATGTAAAATTGCCACATAAACATTTTTGTATGTCAGACAGATTGAACTGACTACCTTTAAATCTATATAGTAGTATTAAACCACAAAGGCATGATACTTTCAAATATACCTACCTACTACTTTTATAGTTATGGAAAAACAACGCTACTATCTTTTGAGACAACTAATAGCTTATCAATCGTATCGAGGCAGACTGTGTAATGGGCTTTATCGGCAGAGCTTGTAATATATCGCCAATATCTTTAACATTCATTCCATTGTATGCCTTTTTATATTATTAGATACTTATATTTATATTTATATAAACTAAATTTACTGTGTACTCATTTTAAGTATTAACATGCACTATCACTTCTTTCAACACAACTACTACTTACTCCAAATAAACTGTCAACTATTTTACTTTAACTAATTAAAGTAACTAAATAAATCATTTAAGAAAGTATTTAACTGTATTATTTAAAGTAATTAAATTATTTTAACCACAGACAATATTTCACATTTCAACTAATTAATATAAGTCTATTAGACATTTGTTCATTTGAATACTAATACATGGTACTTTTCCGGTGACATATATATATATATATATATATATATATATATATATATATATATATATATATATATATATA